ATGCAGCAACGTGGAGCTGCAGTGAAGGTGAACTCTTGGATTTATATGATGTCCTAGTGTAATTTCTTTATGATGCTATTTGATCTTAAGCCATACAATACTGGTTTTTTACATTCTTTTCTATACAGATTTTGATATTCTATGTGTACGTGTTAAGCTGTTTTTCAGATTTCCCTGCTGGTGGTAACTGCAGTGAGCAATACTGTGACTTGGTCTTAAGTCATCCTGTGGGAAATTATGTATTTTCTATTAAAATGTGTAAAATAAGATTTTAGTGCTCATTTTACAGACCTTAAGATGTGTTTTGACATCCTCATCAAATATCTTTTTGAGTATCTGTTTCCCCAAAACTACTTTAAGCAAAACATGGCACTTAATGGTTTTTATGTGGTATGCTGCTATTTATTAGTTGATTTTTTTAATGTAGAATGCATTTATTTTATTTACAATAAGAAGTGTTTGAATACTTTTTGTCATTGACTTCTGCAAGATTTTAATAAATGGAAGATGCAACCACTTGTAGACATTGCTGATTGCTTATGGGGGATCATTTAGGTCCCATTTGTGTATGAAATAGTGTCCAGTTTAAGAAAGGGTGACTGTTCACTTGTAGTGCATACATATGTCATGTAAGACTAGCATTTATTCCAGCTTTCTGTCTCTGACTTGGGGAATATCTCCAGAAGTAATTTGGCTCAAGTGGAGAAAATCAGTAGAGTGAAGCAGTTGGTGCTGTGGCCCCCACCTCTACATATTCTGCTGTGCAGCACTTTTATTTTGGACTAGATTTAGTGGTGCCCCTCAGGATCAAATATCCATGGCACTACATGTATTGAAACTGTTCAGAGGCGTTACTTGCTTGGATCTGTGTGCCCCCTTAGAGGCTGAAGCGGGACAGCATTGGTACATTTCCATTTCCAGTTTATATTTCTTCATAAAGAATCCACATCCTGGATGCCTAAACTGGTCTGTGAATAAAACCATTCCACAGTCAGCAGGAATAGTACAGAGGAGGGAAGGATTTGCTTCCAAATTGCACTACTGCTCTGAACAAAAACAGAAATGTAGGCATAGCCTTCAGCTAACAGAACAAGGCCTTCTCCTATATTTTACAGACAACAGGTCGAGTATGAAGTCCAATAGATTCTATTTTGTAAATTTTAAATTAATTTAGCCTGACATGAGCGTGAGGCCAGAAAGGAACATGATGGGAATGTACAGTGGATTTATTATAAACATTTACCTGCCCACATGTGTTCATTTTGGTCTTTCTGTTTTTTGTTGCCTTCTCACCCACCAACAGATGTACCTTTAGTTTAATTTCTTCAAATGTTCAAAGTATGATCTTTTTCATATATATACACACATGTACAGTGACTGAGAGCATGCCTTATATTGAATTTACAAATGTGCCTAAATGATATTGCTTTAGATTGAGAATATTCTTTTTAATTTCATGCTTACTTTTAGTGACCTGAACTAAGAAGCTTTCATCAGGCGTTAAGAATGCATGTCCTGTTCCTGACGGTGAGGTTACTGGACCAGTCCAGCCTATAGGTGTTTGTTGTCCTCTGTTGAAAGCTGCAGTCCTTTTAGATGTGTCAGAAAACACTGCATATGTGGCTGCTCTCCAAACCAGTTATTTCAGGATGCCTACATTAACTCAGGTATTCTTAATATCTAAACCAGGTCACTTTGGCAGAACTACATTAGGGAATAATTACAGAAGTTGTGCTGACAGATGGGGAGGAGCTGTTGTCTGCGAGCACAGGACAGGGAGGAGTTGCAGTGTTGTCATTTTCACCTCGTGCAGTTGTAGCCAGGCAGCACTTCAGCCTGCAACCATGCAAACTTGTTTGTTTGTTTGTTCCTTTGTTGGGAATTTTTTTGAGTGTAAATTGTGTATAATTTGGTAATAAAAGCAATTAAAATCCTCAGGGAGGGAGAGCAAGCATGAACCAATTTTACCACATTTGTGGAGGGAGGAGAAATTTACCATTTTACAGATGGGAAGTCTCAGGTATAGTTGTGGTTGGTGGGATTATAATTTGGCATTTCAGTGTTGGATTATACCTCTGAGCAGCTCATTGTTTTTCTGTCAGTTCTTCTGCTGCCTGAGTTTTTGAGTGTCATTGATCAGTACTCCCCAGGTGGGGAAAGTGATAACTTTGCATGCTAAAATAAACTGGGAGATGTTATTTTTTTTACCACCCAGGTAGTTTGCCTGATAACTTTCCCTCACACCTGTTTTATCTTTTTTTATGTTATTTTTTCTTCTGTTGTGATTCTTATACAACACTTGAAAACTAACCATTAATGGCAAATCCTGCAGTACAGAACCTTTTAATCTCTAAAAATAAGTACTAGCCCATGGTATGGGACAGGACACTGTAAAAATGGTAGTTGTCACAAAGTACTAGACAGCATTTCTAGTGTGATTATGGCTAAGGATGTATCTTGCTCCTAGCTCTGGGTGAGAAACACTTATGTAGCTGTTGTCATCAGCAAAAGTATTGAGGCAGAATATTCCTGAGCAGCTTTTCAAGTGCTGCTGGGGGAGTCAGACTAACCAAACTGAGTCAATGCAAAAAAAAAGAAGTCCCTCACTAAAGCTCTGAATCTGCATGATAAATTGTGTATCACAGGTTAATTCTTGTAAATTTTGTGCTGTATATAAAACAAAGGATGCATTCAAGAAAAAATGAAGAGTTATGAAAAGTGTCAAAGTAGGTTTTGTTGCAGGCTTGGACAATACAGCTAAATATAACTGTTTTCTTTATGCATTTCTGCTTGCTCCATAAATCATCAGGTTAAGAATGGATTTTTGTGTCTCCTGTTCTAGACTTCATCTATTATCTCTGCAAGGTATCTGGTTTTTTGGATGACAGGGATGGCTTCCTACTTGAAAAGGGCATGTCCTTAATGGGTGGCCTTTCAGTACTGAAAGACAGTGGTAGGACTTTGTGCTCAGTAATTGATGCTGTTCATTATAAAGATTTTGTATTAGAGAATAAAAATACCTTGGTAGTTGTAGAGATATTTCTCTGAGAATTGTGCTCTTAAAGTCTGTTTTAGAAGGTCAAAAGAGGCAGAGAGGATAAGCAAGACTACAGTAACTGCCTTTTTGACAAGAGAGGAAGTTTGATTCATGATTTTGTTCTTAATTTTCAATTTAACATTTCTGACTTAATATTTGAAGGTCTTTTTACTTGGTCTCTACTAAGAAAAAATTGAAGGCATGTTTCTCTGTCGTGACTTTCTTCAATTCTTGGAGTTGCATTTTCTTTTAAGCTGTCTTTTAATAGTTTTGTGGAAAAACAAATTGCATTTTTCTAGCTGCATGGTTTTTCAATCCCAGTAACTACTGGAAAGTTAAAGAATCAGAATAAAAATAGTTTTTATGTATTTTAAGATTTTAAATAAAATTTGGACAATTTATATTGCATATCTTTCTATAGAATGCATTGACAAGGCAAAAGTGGAGCTTGTTCATATCTGATTCTTATTTTTGTGGTGTTGATTTGGTTGAGTTTAAGTCCTATGCAAACAGAGCTGAGCAGCAGCCTGATGACACAGTACAACACCTGCAGGGTATCACATGCCGTTGTAGGGTATGTCCGTATGTTGCTGCTGAGATTATAATAATAGTAATCATTTAACCTTAGTGTTGAAAACCTGGGAGTACATTATGATAGCATGTCACGTGTAAAATTGAGATGCACTCTTAAGAAGATCTGTTGTCAGCAGTCATGTGATTTGGTAATGAATCATGTACCATATATGTACACTGTCTATATGTGCACCATACAGCCTTGTGTTTTCCTGCCGTCCTTCTAAACTGTTCTGTAGACATTCCATTTGGGTTAATGCCACTCCTGTAAATGTCAGTCTTTCTTCAGAGGTTCTTCTAGGTAGGTGTGACCTCAGCTTCTATGCATGGTTTTTATCATGAAGGGCTGGGACTTACATTAATAAATAACGGTGCCAAACACCTGCCTTTTTTATTACCAAAAAGAAGAGAGAGATGAGTAAGAAAGCTATATCAGTACCATAACTGAAATGAAGTGGGATGGAGGATTTACCAGAAGAATCAGTGTGGGTAGAAAAAACAAAATAAAAAGGGGAAACCCTAAGACTAGCTTTGCACTTACATCTTTTTCAGTAAAAGAATTCTCTTTCCACAGGATTAGCATGATTGGCATAAGTTTTAGTCTGAGGCATGAGCCTCTGTCCCTGCAGCTGCTGCTGTCTGCCCTGCCCGCTTCACCCCAGTGCTTGAATTCCTCCAGCCCATGGGTTCCACATGCTGTTGTAGAATGTGCATGCTTAATACTTGTGACATAAATATCATCTCTGTTTGCACATAAGTGAGGCATGGTAATTTGTTCAAGTATGTGTATCAAAGGGTCTGGCAAAAACACATTCTGTTTTCACAAGAAGTCTCAAAAAAAATTGTCTGAATTTGCCCCAGTTCCTAAGATGTTCCATATTGTCCCTGATAGCTAAAGGTTAGTTCATTGTAAGTGAGAGATTTTCACATATGCCTTATGCTAAGCAAGCAAATTATTCAAACAATATCAAATTGATAACTTTGGTAAGGTAAACACCCTGTATTTATACAGCATATTTAAACATGACTTCTGTATTGAGAGAGGGAAATCATATCCACCTTGAAGTTGGTGCAAGAGCTTCTCTGAGGCCAGTGCTGATTGTCAATTTTAAGATGTATATTCAGATTCCTGTGCATGCAAAATACTTAGTGAAGAACAATTTTGATATTCTAGAACATGTTTTTGAGATAAAAGTAATAATCTAAAGTTTAAAGTGAGGGATTTCCAGTCAGCAGTGAAAGACTGTAACACTATGGAACTAAAGTACAGATTACAAAACAACAAGAAAATTTTATAATCTGTCTGCACTTAACAAATTATTTACATGCAGGTCACTCTCTTGAGTTGTATATCTCGCCATGCCTAATGCTTATTTTTGATTTTTAACAGGTAGAGAGAATTGTTGACAAAAGGAAAAACAAGAAAGGAAAAACAGAGTATTTGGTGCGATGGAAAGGATACGACAGCGAAGATGATACTTGGGAGCCAGAACAGCACCTTGTCAATTGTGAGGAATATATACATGAATTTAACAGACGCCACAATGAAAAGCAGAAAGAAAGCACATTAACCAGGACAAACAGGACCTCTCCAAATAATGCCAGAAAACAAATTTCTAGGTCTACCAATAGTTCTTTTTCAAAGACATCTTCTAAATCTTTAGTTATGACTAAAGAACACGAGTCAAAAAATAGTCAACTTTTTTCTGCCACACAGAAGTTCCGGAAAAACAATTCACCGTCGCTTTCTGGACGTAAAAATATGGACCTTGCAAAATCAGGTATTAAAATCCTAGTGCCCAAAAGTCCAATTAAGAGCCGGACAACAGTTGATGGCTTCCAGAATGAAAGCCCAGATAAAATGGACCATATAGAGCAAGATCAAGATGACTCTGTAGCACCAGAAGTAGCAGCAGAAAAACCAGTGGGAGCTTTGTTAGGACCTGGTGCAGAGCGTGCTAGGATGGGGAGCCGACCAAGGATACATCCATTAGTGCCACAATTGCCAGTGCCAGTGACAGCCACAATTGCGTCAGCATTAACGATAAATGGAAAAGGTAGGTGTACAAGTCATCATTTTGGTGGTGATTTTTCATTTGCCTCGAGTTTTTTTGCAGTTGAGATGCAGACATATTGTCCACTCTGTTTCAGCCATGCTAAATCAAGTCTGGAGAACTTCACTTTATTTTACGTAACTATAAAACTACAAATCCATTTTGAATTTACAGCTTTTGGTTTCCTTGCAGAAGTTTATTGGTATTTGTGTTTTCAGAATCACCATCTGATACATCTGTGTTTGCCTTGACATTGTGTGGTACACGTATTTAGTGTACCATTTCCAGATATTATATCATTGCTTTAAGTTTATTTTAATAGGTCAAATTTGGTATGAATATTAGAAACCTTAATTATGGAAAGCGATGAATGGTGTGAGCAAGGATTCTTCATAACAGTTTATATATCTATTTTGTTATAAATATTGCCTGGAGAAAAAACCCTTGAGAGTGATGTTGCTTCAAAAACAAAGTTAATAAGCTTTGTTTCTGTGAAAATTTGAGCCAGTTGTGGAAATACATATGCCTTCTGCCTGGATTGAAATTTGTTTTCATTATATTTTATCAATATTTTGTTGTTTATACCTCATTTGATATTGAACACTTATTTAGGAGTGATGTCTGGCTTGCTAATATCTAAGTAGGTCACAGTTAATTCAATTTGTACTGTAAAATTTGTGACACCAAAGTAACCTAAATTGCTCTTCTAGGAGGGAGCTGTTTGTCCCCCAGCCAACTGAGACTGATGTTTAAGATTTCTTGGTCCTTATTGTTGTGCCCCAAACTTTTGTTCTTCCCTGACAGACTCGGCTGTGTGGTCACAAGTGTTCTCATAAGCAGGCTTTGGAGGCTCAATTTCCAAGTCTAAATTTTCAAGTAATGACTACACCCTCAAATAAAATGCAGCAGGTCAAATGTGCAGGTGTGCTGTTTATGATGACTTGCTGGAAAAATTGTCTGGAATTTTTCGAGGACTGGACCCGCCAAAAAACACACTTAAAAACATTGGATAGGGAAAAAATGTGCTAGAGACTTTGGGAGAGTTTGTGTTGGGTACCCCACTGTTGCTTGCATTGAGATTTTCCAAAAGAACAGCTGCAGCCAGAGAGGTTGAGAAGCAGTGGACAAAGGAGGAATGTGTTCCTGGAGCTGCGGTGTCAGGTCATGGACCAACCCATTTTGCTGCAGATGAACTAGGTAACCATGGCAATGCACACACAGATGCCAGGAATATCTCTTGCTTTGCATGGGCTAAAGAAGGAATGCAAATTCAAAGGATGTAAACAAAGCTGAAGGGGAAGATGCAAGAGATGCCAGGATGAGAGTTCTCTGAGTAGGTGAGGTAGAGGAGTGTGTTTTTGCATGGGATGGTTTTATGATAGTTAATAGGTGTTTTGGAGTATGGCGGGCTTCCTAGTGGCTTGATTGGTAAGTTCTGCCTTAGGCATCTCATTTTTTTGCCTCATGGCATCCAGGAAAAATACCTGAGGCATGAAGGATCTTTTTGGGTAGATCAGATTAAATCTTTCCCACCAGCCTCTCACTTTGGTAATAGTGGTATGGCAAGGGCCCAGTTACAGGGCATCCATCAGATGGAAGCAGAAAGGCCTGCAGGGGAAAGGGAGTGACACAGAAGGTGTTGGGTGAGATTTGTTCCTGTTTCACTGCTGTGTGAAAATTTCCTCAGCTGCCACCACCTCCTTCAACTCTTCCAGGCATTTGTCTGGGCAGCTAACAAGGAAAGCTGTTGACTGGCTCTAGGGATGATGACAATACAAGAGTTTTCTCACACTTACGTGTTCACGAGATCCTAAAGGTGTAGATCAAAAAAGGAGAGCTAAGGAGATAGTCACAATACGTGGTTGATGAAACATACACAATATGTTCCACCTTCTGTCTGCTGCTGGAGGCATATCAGTGCATTAACTGAGGCTTCCCACTCCAGTCCCCAAGCTGAGCTGTGCATATCTGCTGGGAAATGGATGCTAAATATCCATATTTATTGGGGTTTTATTTTGTTCACCTGCAACACTTTTGGAGGTAACCTTCCAAAAGTGCAGTATTTCTGCAATTATAAAACTTGGAAAAAAAGTTGCAAAAGAAAAATACTTTGCATTTATCTGACATCAGTCTCTCTTCCTAACTTTTCAGGATTTCTTTGATGTATTTTCCTCATGGAAGCCCAGGCTCCAACTCAGCCATTATGTGTGGCCTGAGTGGATTTATTTAGGGAGAAGCAAAGAGAGACAGCCCTGTCTTCTAGAGCTCTCCTGGCCTTGGAGCTTCCTGAGCTGACACATTTGCTGTCTTTTCACTCTGAAGATGCATTCTTCTTGCTGTTTTTTTTTTAACTTCACACTGCAACTCATTAAAAGTGTAGTAAATAGGTGCTTCCCTCCCCTGCATGGAGCTGCTGCAGTTCAGGATCCTGTTTTGCTCCTTACTCAGGACATTCCTTCAGTCTTAAATGGACACCTCATCACATTTTCAGCACGACCTCAGGAATCATATATCATGAGGGGTATTCATTGCACAGAAATACATCTTCATGTGCACCAGATCTGACATATTAATAATACAGATGATAGATCTGGCATTTGGAGCACTCTTTCCAAACATCCCACCTCCTCCACATACACCTTCTGTTAATTTTAAGAATTCCTACTACCACTTGGAGGATGCTGTCAGGAAGACAAAAGCATGTTTTGAAAAATAGCTTCTTACTTGAGCTGGTTTAGAAATTTTTTATCAAGATGTTTTTCTTGGTAAGCTTAATTAGTCAAAACAGAAATCACTAGTCATAAAGCATAATTTTGAAAGATTCTAGAAAAATACAGATTGTGCTTCAAAAAATTTTAGACTACTTTTAAAATCAAAACTGAATTACATTTTTTTAAAGTAATACTGGAAAAATAATTAAAAGTTAAATATGAAAACAGTGTTCCTGATTTTGAGTATGGTGCTATGACTGTTTAGTAGTGTGACTCAGGTTGATCTTTAAGTCCTCGCTCAGAATGGTGAAACTACGAAACTACTCAGTTTTTCTTGTTTGGTTGGTTGGTTGATTGGTTTGTTGTTGTTGTTTGTTTGGGTCTGTTGTTTGTTTTCCCCAACCTTGTTTTTACCTTTTTTTTTGTTTAATTTATAAGAGAAGTGTAAACAAAAATCCCAGAAATGTGTATGCATATGAAAATGCCATGACAGTAATTACTAGGAAATATAAGTGTTATTGTAGCACCTAATCCTGCTTTTCCTGAGACAAACTTCTGTGGTGCAGTTCCTGTTTCAAAATCTTCCAGTCTCAGAAAAAGCAATCAGCAGATATCTGTTTAAATATACAAGGGTTCTGGGGAGTAAAATATCTGTCATGTTTACTCTGGGAGCTGGCAGTATCAGCACACTGAAATCAAGCTGCTATCAAAAGAATAGCATTGTGTTGAATGTTCATATTTTAAAGGCTTGGCCTTGAAAACTGAGTCCATGGAGTAATATATATATAAGCCTAAGAGTTAGGGTGATGTATGGAAGAAGTGAGGACAGATCACTGAATTGAACATTGCTGTGGTTCTGGTATTTTGAAATATGTGGTGATCATCAGCTGTTACTACAAGTTAATAAAAGCAATCCTGGAATAGATGAACAAAGTAGAAAGACAGCAACAAAGAAATGAAATGTTGTGGAGAAGATTAGTGGCGCCTACAAGTAAGGAATATTACTCAAAGCTAGGCAAGACAAATGGTGGTTTTGTGTCTAACAGGTTTTGGTACCTTAAAAGTTTCTCAAAGTTTCCTTCATCAAAGTGGTATTAAAAAGTAGCTTTGAAATCTTACTGCAAATGGTTTCAGCATAATATGGTCATAATAACCAGGGAAGTTGGATTTAATAGAGTGCACAAGAAGAGAAGCTGTAAAAGGAATCTGATCTGTCAGTCACACAGGGCTAGAGAGTTGTCTTGAAATTTTAGAAAGGATCATAAGTCAGGGCAATACCATTTCTTGGCAAATTCTAGTAATTTTTATTCTGGGTAACCTTGTATTTGCTACAGTTTTTATTCAGCTAGCAATGTCCAACATGTGGATGTAATTCAGAATAAATGCCACAAGAAGGGAAATTTCAGGCAGAAAAGCATGCAAAGCTCAAAGTCTAAAATAAGGAGGGAAAGCACATCTAGCTGCATATGTTGTCAGAATTAGAATAAGGCAGGTTGGTGCCAGCACCCAGGAAGAGAAGAAATACAAGAAGTGCAGTAAATTGCATCAGTTGTTAGTCACACAGGCACTACCAGTGTGCACAGTGGCATTGTCATCTCCCTCCTTGCACATATCAGTTCAGATAAGCAGCTTGCAGGAGCAGCAGGCTGACAATACAGATGCTTGCAGTGTAGCACCCTACAAGGAACAAGGGTGTCTGCTGATTTTTTAGTTGGATAATGGTGCTGTTTTCATCTCAAAACAATGGTATTGTCAGAAAATGAAAAGTGGTATCAAAAAAAATTAGAAGAAAAGACTGAACTTAAGTTTTGTTTGTTACCTGTTCTCTGCTTTCCCCAAAGCAGCTTATGGGATTAAAACCCATAGATTTGGAAAAATAAAAATCCACTCAAACACCAAAGGAAAATAGTGTCTGTTTGGTTAAGTGTCTGATAGGTTTAGTCTCAAAAGGAATCAAGCAAGCGTGGAAGGGATTATGGAGGCCACTGGAAGTGAGGAGAAACATCTCTTCTCAATGCAATACCAAGCCCAGCTGGAAGGAGTTCAGTCCCTCCCTGTTCATTAGGGTGAGGGAAGCTCACACACTTCCCTCCAAATTCTCCCAGTTACTTTTTCCCCCCTGCCTATGTGTGCCTGAGTGTCGAACTCTTCATGAGGAATGGTCTGCTGTCACCAGCATAACTGGCCAAGCTTGAGAGTCCCATGGGAAGAGCACAGCAGCTGACAGAGCTGTGAACCACAGAGTTGTCTAGATATACCACAAGCCATGCATATAAACCCTCTGAGAAAGCA